AAAATATTTTCAGACTTTAAATAACCCACAAAAGGTTAAGTTATAGAAAATCATCAATACACACACAAAAGAATGGATCAATGAATTTATAGTCTGTCATAGTTATTAGCAGAAGTATGTTTTGAATATTTCACTGCTTAATGTTTGCTCTATGAAAGAGCATTGAATTAAGTGCATTCACAAAACAATCGAAAATTAAATATTTGCTAAGGAAATTTTTTCTTTTACTCAGGCTATTGGCTTATTGATGTTCTTAAATATATGAAATGATTTTAATGATAAACAATTGGTGAAAGAATTGGTATTTATAACAAAAGAGGAAAAAAGCTTTTATTCCTTGTCATGATTTATAAGGAATTTTAAAGAAATTTAAATTAAATCCTACATGTGTATATATATTTAGATATATTTGCTCCAAAAGTAGTGCCTCCTATTTGAATATGTTGTCTTGCAGTATCAGAGGCTGATGCTGGTGACATGGCATGAGAAGTTGAAACTTCCTGCCAATAAGTTATAATTCATGTTTTGCCTTGTTACAGGTAGCAGCTAAATGGTTGTCTGGCAAAATGGCATCTAACATGGTGGTGCTTGTGAAGCAGATGTGTCATTGAATTCCTTCATGTTGAAAAAATTGTACCCATTCATGAATGCTTGCTGAATGTTTTTTGAGACCAAACAGTGGATGTGAGCAGAGTTAGGCTGTGTGTAATGCATTTCAGAAGAGGTAATATCAATGTTTGTAAAAAAAAAAAAAAAACAACATGTTGGAGACTTTGTGGAAAAATAGTTTTGTAGCTGAAAACTTACTCTATCCAATTATGTTCCCTGTATCTGTTGTAGTTTTTGTTAAAAGGAACAGGATGCACTATCTTAAAAGAAAATTTAGTGTATGCACACACACACACACACACACACACACACCCATGGAAAAGTTCTTGACACAAGGTTAGATAAAAAAAAGATTTTTTCATTTTAAAAAGACAGAAATTTTTTCAGCACCCTCTCAATGTGTGTGTGTTAGGTGGAAACATGCCAAAATTGTTATATACTGAGTTAACAACATAAATGCTACATTGATTATTTCTCGACTTTCTTCTTATCTTTCCTTGTACTCAAAATCATAACACATAATTCTGGCAAATTTCTACTTGACATTAAATGTCTGACACCAAAAACTTTCCAAAAGACACAACAGTTATATCCAGGCTATTCTTATATATACGTATGTGTGTGTGTGTGTGTGTGTAGTATGTATGCTAGTATCCAAAACAAAAGTAGAAATCATGAGGCATAATGGAAAAACAATGTGCTTCAACAATGTCTGTTGGGCTTCTTCAGATCGGAACGACAAACAAAAACTGTGTAAGGAAAATGCCTTAGGATTTTTTGGGATAAGAGGGGCAATATATTAAATTCCCTTATGAGATCTGACAATCAAAAACTGGAAAGTAAAAAGGAAAATGATGATTTTATTTCAAATATGAGTATCTATTAAATAATAACATTTGAGTATATATATATATATATATATATATATATATATATATATATATATATATATATATATAATTAACTGAAATCCCCATCTATGTTGGGCTTGTGCGTTTGATATAAAAGACTGTTTATAATGATTGTAAGCTGATGTGTTTAATGAGGCAAATCATATTTCAATCCACATCACTCCCCCTTAATACCATTAGCCTCCCCTGTATAGTATAGTGCCCACCCTCACTACACTAGGTGTTGCTGCTTCGGTTTCTGTAAAAAGTAGGTTTTAGGTAGGGGGATTTTGTAGCCCCTACACCAGGTCAGTCTTGAATTCAGAATTGTCCTTCTCTGAAACTAATTTCAGTCTAAGTTAAAGAGACCAGTCTGCTCTGCTATTTAACCCATAGGGAAGAAGTGATGGATTCATGCCTTTCTCAAGGGTATTTGTGCAAAAGTGAATAGAATGAACTCAGTTGGAATTTGAACTCTTCACTTTGATTCCATTTTCTGCACTGATAACCACTATGCTACATGCATGTCCCTTCTTATAATCATGGGAAACAAATGAAATGTATAATTCTAACACTTTTGCCTCAGCCCCTCAACCTCTGATGTCTTACTCTCTGGGTTGAGGTGTCTACTCGGTCCTAACCAAAGGGAGTGGCTGTAGGTTCCCTGGGCATCCATAGATTATTCAACCGGTCCACTGGTTTAATCCTGCTTCCTGCCCGCGTTGTGTTTGGTTTGATCCAGAAAGCAGAAGTGATGTTCATCCATTCATGGTCGACTGAAGATGTAGACACGGCTGGAGAGTCTGCGCTAAGAAATTCAGAATGCAGCAAAAAAAAAAAAAAATTAATATCTGCAGAAAGCCGGACAAACAACTATTCAATGATTAAATTGTTAATGTCTTTCATATAGCAGAAAAGAATAGTATAGGAAAGAAACGGGTTGCAGAAAAGAAAAGTAATTGATGTAAAAATGCATACATTGGATTCTGGACAGAGAGAGTGTGTTATGATTAACTTGTTAAATCGTCTCGGAACAATATACGACTCTTGCGATGGGGGAATAAGATTTCTGTGCGCTGCTTAAAGTTTATAGTGGCATTCCTCCTTAGCAGTAGTAACGGTAGTAGTAATAATCATGGTAGCAAAAGCAGCAGTACTTATATCAACAGTACATGTTAGCGGACGCTTCGTTCCAATTTCTGATGTCACGTTCTCTCCTTCTTGAGTCTCCAACTCGTCTCTCCACTGTCTCTAGCCCAACTCTTGCTCGGGCTAATTCTCTTCTGTCTCTCTCTCTTCCATCTGCCTCTTTTTCAGCAGAACTATGCATTTATATAGAAAAACCCGGCTGGTTACAACTGAACCTTGTCCCTCCTACTTCGCATGTGATTATCACGGACAGGGTTTTGGCTGTTTCAATCAAAATCACGTAAATTCTAAAGGTCCACTTTGCTTCCTCAGCTCTACTCCAAGTTTTAATCAATAAAAATTATTTCGACCATTTCCATTGTCTGCTAATGACCCAGTTCCAGCCCTAGATCAGATAAACGAAATGCTCTGATCAATTTTGCTAGTCCAAGTCTACTCCAATTTCACTAAAAAATTACATTTCTTAATTACAATTAAAAACAAAAAAAAAACATGATTTGCATTCCTAAGCCTTGTGCTTTTAACTATTGTAATCACTAAACCTGACGCGATCAAATTTCTAGCGTTTTCATAAAATTAGTCATGGTGGGGGGTAATATATATTAAAAAAAAAAATTTCTGCCATGGCTTTAATAACAAAAAAACATTTATAATAATTTTGATCATCTGTGAATAGTTTCTGAAAGTTTCATTAACATCCAACAATTATTTTTATTTTTGCAAGATTTTCCAAATTAATGTGTGTCATACAAAAAAAACATGCTAAAAATTGTCTGTTATTTTACTACAATACAAAGAGAAACAAGGTTTTTTTAATCAAAATTTAGAATGTTCTAAAAAGAAGGAAAACTTTTTAAAAATAATTAAAATAAACTTTGATCTTTCCTCTTAATAATATAAGCATTTAGACAATAAAATTTTGTTTTTGTCAAGTTTGGCGTCCTTTTCATCATGCTATGCTCTTTTTTTAACAATCTTATGGAGGTACCTACTGAATGAGGTTGTTGTAAGGCTGTAAAGGTAGGAAGTAAGTTCAATCTACAATTCTGGGGAAGAAACTGTCTGAGTGGAACTTCCTACTTACCAATGGAATACAAAGACAATGTGGCTGACTTGACCCGGTGTAAGTGGCCTGATGAGTCCTAGCTGTGAAGGTTTCAGCTTGTAGAACTAAGGAACTTAGATAATGATGCTCTTGTTATCCCATCCACTAATACTTTAAAGGCATATTCCATCTAAAGAGTGGTGCTTATCAAAAGGTTTCATGAACTCATTGATATAAAAAGTACTAAAAATATTTTTGTGTAAAAGTTTGATGGTAAAAATTAAGTGATGTTTGCTATTCCAATCTAGCAAAAGTATCTGATTGAATTTATTTTTAAAAAATTAAAAAAAGTTTCAATTAAATTTTTTTACTGTTTTATCAGTTTTCTCCTTGAACTACTTTGTGTGTGTGTGTGTTTTTTTTTGTTTTTGTTTTTTTCATGTTTCATGTTTGAAACTGATAAGAATTAAACCTTGCATAATGTATCAAGTTTTTGTTTGGTTTGTTTTGAAATTGGACATAGAAGAAAAAGAAAAGAAAAATACTCTCCCAATGTTTTACAAATCCACCTGTATCTACTGAAAGCACATGAGGGAGGGGGAATAAACTTTGTTTTTTTTTTTTTTGTTTTTTTTAATGGATAATTTAAAAGTTACATTTGTTTTGTGGTATTGGCAAAAATAAAAGTTCAGTATCAATGCAAAATACAGCAATATTAAATTAATAATTGCTATATTAATGGTAAAAAACAAAACAGTTACATGGCCTCTCTTGTGATTGACGTTGTTTTATATTTCTCCTCCGTGCCAGTATTTAAAGCCATAATTTCAAATCCTGATTTTCAATATAGGCTCGTCTACGCATAAGATTGGCGCAACATAATCTTCATTTTCTATTTTACTCTAATTCACTCTCAGATATGATTCAGGCCTTTCCATTGGATGACGAACAAACTTTGCATCGACTCACGAAAAAGGTCCATGAAAGAATTTGTTTCTAAGAATTGTAGATTATTTGAATTTTGTTTTTAAATGTTTCCTAGTTTTCTATTGGCCGAAAAACATTTCACATCATTTGAATTTTAAATCTAGATCTTGTTTTGTTCACTACAGAGTGACCATGATGTCCTTTTATTTAAATTATATATCCCAAGAATTAAGAGAAAAAATTTAATATAAATCTGAAACAAAAAGATAAATTTTGATAAAATGAGAAAGGCCTGTCTGTTGAATGGGATCGGTTGCTTACTAATAGAGAATTAAATTACTCATGGTCATTGATTAAAAAAAAAAAAGCCATAATTTCAAATCCTGATTTTCAATATAGGCTCATCTACGCATAAGATTGGCGCAACATAATCTTCTTTTTCTATTTTACTCTATTACAACCTTATATTATGCTATATTTATAAATATTTTAAATTTAACTACATTAAAATTTTTAACATTAGTCTGTTTGGGACCGATCTTAAATATTGCTGATTAAGTAGGATTTAGTCACAGTTTGATAAGGCTATAAAATGATGAATTTGATTTTTTTTACCCCTAAGAATTGCATAATTTGGCCTTGATATTTGTTATCTTCATTCCAATACAGAATGAAGAATATTATTAAACAAAAGGAAAGATATTTGTAAAATGTCTATCAAAATAAGATGCAGTTCAACAATAACATTTATTTACTTTTCAGTGTAAATAGAAAAAATTTAATTAAAGAAAAGAAAGTACAGTTTTATTTCAATTTAAATGCAAAGGGAATTAAATGACTAGCCTTGGATTAAAAATGTATGAGTCGTTTAGTCTGGCTCAAGGCCACAATAGTAGAGTGACTATAAGAATTGAATACATAACACTAGCGAATTGGTATGAGAAAGAATAAAAAGGGGAGGAAAAAGAAAAAAAAGGCAGGCTTAAGTCTCACTCGAATCGCAGTTGTTGTCTCACTCCTTCTCCCTTCGCCGCCATCAACCGATTTCGTCGCACCGGCCTGCCGCCATTTTGACTTCGCGTGCAATATCAAGGCATTAACATGGTGAATTTCTGCGCTGTTGCCGGCTGTAGCAGCAAACATAAAACTGGAAGCGGCATCTCCTTTCACAGGTGAGTGATCCTTCATCTAAAATTCTAACTCATTGTTGCGAATTCTCATTTCTTTTCTTTGTTGCGTCCCTTCTCTTTATTTGTGCGTGCGTATGTGTATACGTATGTATGTGTGTAATATATATATATATATATATATATATATAATACACACACACACACACAAAAATTTGCATGATTTATTTAAAAAATACACCGACCATTTTCTTTTCCTTGTTTTGTGTGACTTTTTTTTTCTCTGTTTTCGGCTTCGTGTGTAAAATTCATTGTTTTTTTTTTTTTTTAAATCTTTATTCATTTTTTACTTCGTCTCCCTTGTTTTTTCTTTTTTGCTATTTTTTCTTCTTTTTGAACAACTCCCATTAAAAAATAATAATTGTGAACCTGGTTCCTTTTCTGTCTCATTTCTTCTACCTATCTAATCGACTTATTGTTTCCTTATTTTTTTTCTTCTGTCATGTTTTCAAATGTGGTTTATTTCTCTTCCTTTCTCTTTCTGTTCTTATTTTACTTTTTGTGCACCCCCCACTCTTCTTTCAATTATATAAAATGTCTCGAATGCACTGTCTCCAATTAAAAAAAAAAATTAATTAACCAATTAACAATTTTTTTCCAACATATACATAAATTATTTTTTTTTTTTAATTATAGCAAAAGAAATAAATTTAAAAAATTATAACTGGGAAGAAGTAGTAAAATAAATAAATAAACATGCATGATACGTCAACACATTGATTTTATTTTTATTTATTTTTGTTGGAACTTTACTCTGGAGATCCGTTTCCAAAACAGTGTCTCCCTGATATATAAAAAGTGAGCCGTTTTTAATCTTTTCTCTTTTACTTTGTGCAAAATTCTACGGTAACAAAAATTACGTATGTGTCATAAAAACAAACTTAATTTATTGAAATAAAACAAGATAAAAAACAAAGATAATGTTTTTATTTTTCAATTTGGATGCTAATTCCGGAAGCCTGCTTCTTATTTTAAAATTAAATATTGTTGTTTACAAAAATAATGTTGCAAATATTAATTAAATAAAAACTTCGTGCATATTTTAAAATTGAAATAAAAAGATGTTTCGCGAAAAATAAGTTGGTACTTACTTAATTAACCAAAACTGATATCCTTAAAAAAAAAATAATGGGTTCACTCCTTCTTCATAAATCGATAATCGAAGAAAGATTTACAATACATTTATTTTTATGACACACCCAAGGATTTTTTTTTTCTATAATTGTAGTGTTTACGTTTGCCGTTCTGAATAACTTTGGTATGTAACAAGGAAAAATAACCACATATGCATTTTAGTTTAAATAGATTGAAAACAAAACTGACGTTTAAAATAATTTTTAAAAACAATTTTAACTTTTTTTTTATTATTACGAAAGCATTTGATTTAGATTGCAAAAATATTTAATCATGGTGACTATTTTTCAGGATTCACCGTTTACAAAGCGATAATTCCAAGAGCAATGAAATTGATTAGTTTTAAAATTTTATCACATTTTAAACATCTTTATAATTTTATTTTTAGTGGTATCTTACACAAATTAAGGAAAAACATCCCTGGAAAAACCTACTCGTCTGAATTTTACGTAATTTGATCAAATTATTAAAAAAAAAAAAAATAAAAACATGATACTGTGTGGTTTTGGTCATTAAATAAATCTTTCCTTCCCTTCATACACCAATAACTACCTTAGAAATTTTAATGTAGCTAAAAAGAACATAATAAGTTCATAGAAAGAAAAGACTTTACTGATAAAAAAAAATCTAGATGTGAGTATTGATATAAATTAAGGACATTTATAAAGTGAACTCTGATGTTCTAACTAAAAAAAAAATGATTTTATTTTCATTTCCATATTTGTTGGGCGAGTCCTTTCATTTTCGTGGTTTTTCAGTCATACATTTCAGCTGATACATTTTTTGGCCTTCCTAGTACTAAAATTAAACGAATAAACAAAAATAAAACTAGATAAGGAAAACGAAAAAAATGCATGAGCGGCAAAATGATGTGGCAACAGACTAACTTTTACTTTAACTGAGGTTTATTTTCCTTGAGACTTTCTGGAACAACATTAGGCTATTTTAGTTTATTTTCTTCCTTTCTTCTCTTTCGCCCTCATTTTTTTCTTTATTTTTTTTTTCTGTAATTTCTCTCTACCCCCTTCTCTATTTTCGATGTATATCTTCTGGCATTTGGCTAAAAAGTTAAAGTTAAGTGATACGAATTGAGGCAGAAACAGAATTTGCAAAACTTTTCTTTGTATTATTAATTAATAGTTTTTTTTTTTTTTTTTTTACGGGGTATGGAGGCATGAAAAACTCCTTTTGGTAAACTTGTTTTGTCAGTAGCGTACTGAGTGAACATTTGATTGGACATTCCACTCTCTTGTCTTATACTTTCTTACCTTGGCAGTAGCAACAAAAACTCTCTTACAACCATTTAGGCAATAATTATTACACAACAAACACGTGAGTGTGTATGAAAAAAACAAAAAAAAAAACAACAACCGAACTGTGATTTGAAACATGAATTAATTGCATTCAGATATTCCTTTAGTTATGAGTTTAAAAAACAGTTGATCTCGAGAGAGTGAATTCTCCAATCATAAAAACTGTAGTGCTGGCCTTGTGCCGGAATAAAACTTAGTAAATTACTGCAGGCTGTGAGTTTTTAAAATACTTTATTAAAGCAATCTGTTCTAATTTTACCCCTGAATTTGACAAGAAGAATATCTAATTTTTTAATTAATTCTTGAGCATACATGATCCATAAATACTTAAATCTGTGGAGGAACAAAATCTTATTACGGTTTTAAATTTTTTTTTTTTTTTAATTAAAATTATTGACCAATCAACTTACAGTTGTTACTCCTAGACAAACTAGTAAAGGAAAATGAGAAGAAAGGACTAATCATCAATTGTAAGAATGATAGTATGGTTGTTAACAAGAGGGTCAACCCTAGATGCAAGCTATTAATTGGAGATATCAAAATCAACATAGGCATTTACTTAGCGTAAGAAAACGATGTATTAATTAATTTTTTTATTACTTTATTCCACAATATAATGATTTTACTGTCTCAAGAAAGATTATCTTTTATTTTGTATATAGTTATCTTTTTTTAGTTACATCCAGTTATTCCCCTTGGAAAGGTGTCTACTAAAAAATAACCCCTCAAAATTTTGTTCCCATTGAGTTTTGTCATGCATTTCATGATACTGTCCCATAATAGTTGTTACATTTTGTGTTTCAAATATGTATGCGAATGTAAGGGCTATTATGAGACAGATAGTATTTTTTAATAGTTTCTGCTTTTGTCTTAATCACTCCCCCACATTTTTTCTACACTTAAATATCAACTTTAGTAAAAATATTACTTTCAAATGCCACAGGTATTTTCCATATTATTGTATTTTTAAATAAAGTAATGGAAAAAATTGAATCATAAGAAGTGGAAAAAACACTAAAAATTATCCAAGTGAAACCAAAAATTTTCATTTCCAAACTAGCAGTGGGATCATAGAAAGTACTCTTTGCTTTATGGGTGATAATATCAATTTCATAATTTACATCTCTTGTATTTTCTTTCCGTAATGAATTGTAGATTTTTGAACTTCTTTTTGCTATAAATAGCAAGCATTCAATTATAAATGTTTATTGCAGTTCTTTGCATTCTGTCAAGGTTAACTATACTGGTAACAGTTTTTTCTTTCTACTGCTTGGACAGGTAGGTTGTTATAGTATTTTGCCTAATTGTTTAAACACTCAATCTCTTCTGGTATGCTAATAAAGAGACATTTGCAAAGATATCTAGAAACAAGACAGACAAGGGAGAAGAGAATTCATGCCTTGTTCAAGAGCTTACTGTGAAGTAAATATAAATAGCTTTAGCTAGAATTTGCTAATTAAAGCTTCCATGCCAATGACTGTCTCCATACAAAATGTAATAGTTTTTTTTTTTTTTTTTTATAAACAATGTAATTCATGTTTTTATTGCATTTTTCTTTCTTTTGGGTTTCAATTTAATTTCACCATTTTTTTTCTTTTTTTTTTAATCCATTCTAGATTTCCTGATGTGAGGAAAAAGCCAGCTCTGTGGAAACGCTGGGTTAAGGCTTTGGCTCGGCAAAATTGGACACCGAGTCACTACACATACATCTGTAGCCAACATTTTGAGAAATCTTGTTTTCAGGAGGTAAAGCCTGGGGGTCGAGCATTGCTTCACCGATATGCTGTCCCTACCATATTTAAAACTGGGCCTGCAATGCAACGTAGTAGTTCTCAGACAGACAGGCATTTGGCCTTTACATATACATCTCTTTCTCAGAATGCTAGTGAGTTTTTAAAAACATTTTTCTTTTTTTTTTTTTTTTTTTTTTTTTCTTCACTTACTTTAAGTTTGTTTCTTTTTTAAATGTTTCTTATGCAATTTTATTATTTTGGGAAATTGTCTTAAAACTACTGGCAAGAACATTTCTCTCTTTTATCACAGGCTTATAAAAGATGGCAGAGTGAACATTATGCAAGCCTATTTCAAAAGTACATGTCTTACTAATTAAAAAAAAAAAAAGAAGAGATCTTTGCTGTGTGTGTGGGTGTGTGTAAAATATATATATATATATATATATATATATATATTATATATATATACACACAAACAAACCTAAATAAATACTGAAAAGTTCTTGGCCTAATCAATAAAATTCTGATATTTGGTCAGATTGTGGGTTAGGCTAAAATCTTTTCAGCCTTTTACTTATATATTACCAACAAATATTATTGAAGATTTTCACATTTAATTTTTTTTGTAGTTTGGACCATTATTCTGGTTTCTGGGGAAAATTTAAACATGGATTGTCCAATATCCTCTGAGCACTTTCAGCTTTCATAAACCATTATCAAAGATTTTTATTCTTTTGTCTATAGGAATATTTTGTATGTATGCATTGTTATTTTTTATTTTTTTTTTTTTAATATTATGCATTCATGTCTTGGATATCTTGTCAGTTTTCGTTTTTTAGTTATTGCATTTTCACATCAATTTGTGGTAGTGTGTGTGTGTGTGTGTGTGTGTGTGTACATGTGTATATATATATATATATATATATATATATATATATATATATAATGTATAATATATAGCTTTTTTTTTATTTTTTGTAGGTCTGATAAATTGGATCGTATTTACGATTCCAATGGAATAAATTATGACCATGGAATATTAATGTTTAAGCCTTTTTATTATATCCTTACTCTGTCCTGGACATTGAGTTCTACCTGGATTCTATCCTCTTGGAATTTTTTTTTTTTATACAAAATATATATCTATGCATGTATGTATAATTTGCATATGTATGTGTATATTTACCACTAATATTATCTATCTCATATATATATAATCATGGGGTAAATGCAATGAGAGAATGAGTAGCATACTTGTGTTACAAGCCATTCCTTGTGACTTCATAGAATGTATAGTAGATATTCACTAAGTTTGACACAAGGCCAAAATACAAAGCCTCATTGAAAATTGAGTCAATGAGCTTTCATCTTGGAAACCATTGCTTTGTGGTTCTGAATGTATCTATCATGATTTGATTGTAGTTTTAACAATATTGTCTATTCATTGCAGCTAGTATCACTTTTATGCCTTTTTTTGTCTTTCATTTTCTCACTAGCTGTTGTAAAGTAAATTCAATTTAAATTTCAAGGACATTTTAATAATAAACAAACTTATAATAACTCTATTTCAGACATGTGCATACGAATACATATGTGTATGTGCATACACACACACATGCATGCATGCACACTTTTGTTGGTGTCTTAGTTTCATGATCTCTCTAAAAGAGTTTCGATTAGATTTTAACCACCAGAATTTCTGTTTGTTTTACATAATCTAGTTTATAAATTATGTTTTTTATTTTATTTCAACTTTTTTGTGTGAGGAGATATTTTTGTGTCTTGATCTTGTTTTAAATGATCCATTTTCCAATGTTAATCAAGTGTCCTGTCCTGAATGAAAAGGAGGTTATCTGCCTACAGTGTCTTTTTTTTTTTTTTTTTTTTTTTTTTTTTAAGGCTGTAAACTGAATTTTTCAAACTTCATCCAAGTACAGTAATACTTATAAAATCAATTATTCTGTTTTATTTTTCAATCACTTGTGCAGCTTGTCCCAATATCTATCTACTATCTATATTTCTCATGTTGTCTGTGTCTGTCATGGGCGTTGTTACCTCGCCCAGGCCGCATTTCTCACCCGATTTCGATGCGGTTTTCAACACAAGTTTGCAAATGGCTGCCATAAGGACATGATGGAGCCCGATTTTTGAGTTCAGAATCAGGTTCCGAAAAAATCGATAATTGAAAAAATTCTGATCGCATTTCAACCAAATTTGACACCCTCTTAGTCTACCATTAGAATTGTTGTCCAGAAATTCCATGACCACGGACCCCTAAACAGTGCGGAAAATCGATAAAACCCAAAAACCGATACGCCCAGATTGCGTCTGAACCGCATGTCGGTTTTTAGTGAAAACTGAGCGGATTTATGAAGAGGCCATTGGGAGTCATCATGTGAAGTTTCAACTCTGAGCACCCCCCAAACAGAGTGCAAATCGACAATCGTCAACCCGTAAAAATGTTTTTTCCGGTTTTTTAAAGCTGATCGTATTGTGTTTATTTTGTTTAGTTCTTTTTTCGTAACAGATTTAATGTTTACTATAGAGCTTAGGAAAAGTTGGCAGTGTGATATAGGCAAGAAGTAAGGCATGTAGCAACATCAGCACGGCAAAGGGCACTCCTCTAAAGGCAAGGAAGGGCAAAAATATTTTAAGTCAAGTGATAGCGATTGCTGTATTAGTCGTACTATTTTTGAATCAAGCATGGGCAACGCTGGGCCATGCTGCTAGTATTACATAGAAATGTTTTCTGGTCTTTGTAAAATGCTTCAGCAACTTTTATAAAAAGGGTTTTGAAAGGGGCTTCTCTTTCAAGGAAATACACTAGGCTTGTATGCTCAGTGTATGCACCTGATAGAAAAACTGATATATGCTACTTTCATTACTTTTCACAGATTCTTTCTTTCTGTTATCTAGAACACCTGCTAAAGAGATAATAGGTACCATTCTCATTTCTTTAATGATCTGCCATACCAGATTTTTCCATCTTTCTTTGGTTACAGCTTTATATTTCTTGAGTCTGATATTAAAGGGGCAGCTGATTTACTCTTAAAATCCTTTCCTACTTATGCATAGGATGTTACATACATGATCTTTTGTCAGTCCTTTCTCTTGTAAGGTACCAATTCTAGTAAAGAGATTACAATTGAGCACCACTCTGATGTTGTAATGTTGACAAACCCTCAGAGTGGCTTTCAATACAACTACACTTAGCAACCTTCTTAAAAAAAATTCCTTTAGTAAGAACAACTGGGCTATTTTAATTTGTCATCTGTTCTTACTATAGTAGGACTGAAATATTGTGGGATACAGAAACCTTAAAACAAATTTAAAAGTTATATAGTTATAGTTTTAAAAAGAATTAAGTAGTCGTGTGATAAACGTAAAGCATGTTTTGTTTTGCTAATGTAGATTTTGCTTGGAATAAAGGCAAAGTTTATCCTTTATACTCACAAAAAAATGATATGCCAAAAGGAGGGTTTTTCTCTTGACACCACTATTACTTTTGACTCCTTTAGCAATTTTTATTGTTTTAAAATGTTATATTTGGAAGTTTACATGAAAATCAATTTATACATTTTCTTTATTCTTGAGAATTGACAACAAAAATATTAAACGCTATTTACATTTATAAGAATAATGTTATATTTGCAAGATTATAAAAATATGCAAACCGACTACAATGCAATGCTTCATTTACCATTTTATAAAAAAATAAATATGAAAATTTACAAAATTATAAAAATCTGTGAACCAATTATAATGAAATATTTATTATTTACCATTATGTAAAGATTTATGAAAACAATTTTTTTTTATTCATAAATTTCTAAATGTCTGAACAAGAAAATATAAATAAACATATGAGTAACTGAATTATAAATAATGAAAAAATGCATTTTTCAGGCTTTTCTTTAATTTGCTCTTACCAATTTTTATAAGTTTTTGAATAAAATGATTTATTTTCATATTTATATCTTTTATAAAATAAAATATATATGATAGATATGAAATGAATCAGGTTGAAATGCATTATATTTTGCAGTATTTTCCTGAAAAAGTTTCTTATTTCTTTCTCTGTTAACAGCAACAAGAAAAGGATTTTGCATTGTAAATGCCATAATTTTTCTCAAAAGAATGGGGTGCTATATTATAAACATCTGAAAAATTGTCTTCTTTGAGTGGTCAGCAAAGAAGAGAGAAATGTTATCAAACGGGGTCCACAAACAAAAAATTGACACATTAAACTCAAATTGTATACTAACTGTAAATTCTAGAAACATTCAGCATATTTAATTTTCATTGTTTAAATCTTATATGTTGATTAATATTAAAGACTAGGATAAAAAAGATTTTTTTAAATGGTAAATTTGCCAATAAGTGAATGTCTTGTTTTCAGGTTCATCTGAAAATTAAACGTAAAGAATTAAAAAAAAAAATATTGAAATTAATTTTGCATTATCTTTGTTAGAAATAATTTCCCAGATTTTATGAGAATTATACAAAGGACATTTGCCACAAGGATCAGAATTCTTCTAAAAAGATGGTGTGTTCCAACCACCCAAATAATCTTCATTGAAGAATTCAAAAAAGAAAGCACATAACCGAAGACTTCATAAACGACTGACTAGTGAAAAATAAATGTGAGTATATATTGTTTATTATTTCTGTTTTCTTTGCTATTAATATTTAATAAAATTCATTGTTTGCTTGTTTGGGAAAATGATGATATAATGTCAATTATTGAAATTTGGTCAATAAAGCCAATGCCATGAAGTCATTCCAAACATTGTTTGGTGTATTAAACTCGTTTTTTTACATTGCTCTTGTTATCACCCAAAAACATTGGCCATCTTCATGTGTACAATCTAGATATAAAAAAAAATAAGCAAAGAAGCCATTTCTCCCCACCTCCTATTCCATTATATAGAACAAACTAGGTAGCCAAATAGCAATAAATGGTGATCATTATACTAAGTGAATCGACTCATTATGGCAAAATGTCTCTCACAT